TCTCCCCCGACTGGGAGGAAAAAAAAAAAAAACATGCCACTGCCATTGCCACTCGCGCTGCCCGGCTCTCCCCAAAAGAGCGGTTTTTTGTGCGGAAGTCAAAGGACCGGCAGCGCGAGTGGCAATGCGCGTTCACAATCTGCGCGTCGCTTAGTTCGCGCCACGCGCTTGGTGGAGAAAGATGTGAAATTAAAAATTATTAATTAATTAAATATTAATTAATGGTTAATATTTATTAATTTATTTATATTAAAATTATTAATTATTTAAATTTCGAACATAATTATGGATTGCAAAAAGACAGCGCAGCCGCTGTTATTACTTCGACATCTGCCATTGCCGAAACTCTGAAGCGAAGTGAGAGGTAGGGCAGTATGTAAACACATACTTCTCTCAATCATGCCGCAGCAATATTTAGGGAATTATTGCCGGCAACGCGAGGTGCAGCGGCATGGACATAGTCTAAACGAGGTATAAGGATTTGATTTTAAATATATTGGCCAGTGCACTGACGTCATAAATCGACGAAATATTTAAAATAGTGCGAATAAAGATTTTTTATTCACCTCATCAATTAAAAGGAATTCTTTTCGTTCGGATGCCATTATTGCTCTTTAAATAAAAAAGAAATAAAATTCGAATGCATCTCACGCACGCTCGGTCATACGTCATATACGTTTTTCCGGTAAAAATATTATGGTAGCATACCAGTACAAAATGACGTCGGATTCGTGACGTCATTACCACTGGCCAGTATACTGATGTATATTTCGGAATACACCCGCAACTTTCTTCTAATCGTGAGTGAAGCATTGGTGAAGCATGCCAATGGCCGCCCGCTTACCGCGTGTGCGTAATTTGAGGGTTGTCGGGTAAATTATCAAATTCCCTACTTTTTAAATTTCGCAAACTAAAACTTTGTCAACATTATGTAATCAAATATAAATTATAAGAACGGGATATTTACCACGTGTTTTACTCTTTGTGAATTCCCGATATTTCAGCAATTTAAACGCTTGCACTTCAGAAACAAGATGTGGGGCTATCAAAATATTTTTTTGAACAAAGAGATATAAAAGAAAACACTTGTTATGTATAAAGAAAATTATTGTTAACATATTAAATATAAATTAATGTCTCTCATATTAAGTATGAGGTTAAAAATATACATCTATAATAATGAAATAATCAGTAAAATCAGGGCTAACTTGACATTAACATTATTTTTATTATAGGAACTACCACAAATGATAGTGGTGAGTGCATCCGCCCGGTCATGGGAACACGCAGATTTGAGTCCTGTCTCAAAACTTGACACAGTTGATTTTTTTCTAGAAAAAAATCTTAATATATATATATACACTCAGAGGCACAATTAACCGGCTAAAGTGGCAAAACTTTGTTTAAAATAACGAAACGCTTATAACGTTGGATGAAAATTTGTTAAGTGGGTAGTTTATGATAAAATGAGAGAATTATTACCCTTATTTTAAAGATACCCTCAAGTGTGGGTCACTTTTATTGAGTTCAGTCGAATATTGATTTTCGAACCGATTGTTTTGCGTGTACATAAAGTGTTGCTTGTAAAGTTTTTAAACAAATTTCTTTGTGCTTAAGTTGTGGCATAGTTTGTCATTTGCTTCTTACTCAGTAAAATGTCATTGGGTGCAGTTGATTCAGCTAGAGCGATGGCGCTTTCTGATGCTGGGTATAGCCAGCGTCGTATAGGCTGTATGCTGGGATTTCCTCGAACTACGATACGAGATGCCATCCGGCGATACCGAGAAACTGGATCTTACACCAGAAGACCCGGACAAGGTCGAACAAGGTGCACTTCTGAGAGAAATGACCGCTTTATTGTATCCAATGTTTTAAGAAAACGCTTCGTTTCCGTTTCCGGCTGGCTCAAGTACCTGCGTTGACCACAGAGCACCGGAGAGCTAGACTTCTATTTGCTCAACAATACCGAAATTGGATAATGGAGCAATAGAAGAATGTTCTCTTCTCTGGTGAGTCGAGAGTAGCTTTAAGAGGTCCTGATGGACGCCAGCGAGTGTATCAACGGCCGGCTGAGCGCTTTGCACAGTGTGCTGTTGTCGAAACAGTGGGCTACCAAGGTGGCTAAGTAAGGGTTTGGGGTGGAATTTCTTATGAGGCTGGTACAGTGTTAGTTTTGTTTTAAAGAGGCAGCGTAAATGATCAGAGGTATACGGAAGAGGTCTTACAACCTCATGGTATACCTTTTGCCCCATTTATTGGAGAAGATTTTCTTTTAATGCACGACAACGCCCGTGCTCACGTCGCTAGAATGGTTACGGAGTACTTTGATGCTTTAGGTATATCACGGCTACCATGGCCAGGTCGAAGCCCGGTTCTAAACCCTATCGAACACGTTTGGGACAATCCAAAAGGCGAGTACGAAGTCGGATTTCCGCTCCTACCTCCATTAATGAGTTGAAGATTGCCTTGATGGAGGAGTGGGAGAATATACCGCAGTCAGATATTCAAGACGTTATGGATGGTCTTCCAAATCGACTGGAAGAGGTCATAAGAGCCAGAGGAGGCAATATTCATTAATAAAAGTTAGGTTTTAATGTAAACGTAAAGTTTTAGCTTGTTCGTCATCTCCTTTAATTTGGTTTGTTAAACGGTAATTTCAAACCTTTTCAAAATTTAAAGCAACAGCAACTGTTTTTTTTTTCACTTATTTTATTTTAAATTATCCACTTTATTAGATTGTTAAGAAAAAAAGTCATTCCAAAAAGATTTTTTGAAATTATACCGAAAAATGTAAGTGGGCGGTTAATTGTGCCTCTGAGTGTATATACATATATAAATGACGTGTCCCGTTGTTTGTCCTGGATGGGTTCCTAAACTACCTAACCGATTTAAATCAAATTTGCACACCGCGTGCAATTAAATCCAACTTGAAAAATACGATAGCGCTTACATGTCAATTTATAGTTGCAATATTATTTTAAAAATAATATTGCAACTATAAATTGACATGTATTTTAAAAATAATATTGCAACTATAAATTGACATGTAAGCGCTATCGTATTTTTCAAGTTGGATTTAATTGCACGCGGTGTGCAAATTTGATTTAAATCGGTTAGGTAGTTTAGGAACCCATCCAGGACAAACAACGGGACACGTCATTTATATATGTATATACACTCAGAGGCACAATTAACCGCCCACTTACATTTTTCGGTATAATTTCAAAAAATCTTTTTGGAATGACTTTTTTTCTTAACAATCTAATAAAGTGGATAATTTAAAATAAAATAAGTGAAAAAAAAAACAGTTGCTGTTGCTTTAAATTTTGAAAATTTTATTACAAATTATTACTTTTGGGGGTGCGAAGTTCGCCGAGTCAGCAGGTATTCTATATATTAACTAGCTGACAAAGCGAACTTCGTACCGCCATAAAAATAGGTGCTGGTGGTAGAATGATGAAAATTTAGGGAAGTAGGTATTTTTAAATGGCACTTTTTATAAAATAAAAGTTTTCACTAAAAAAATGTTAGGGGTGTGTAACTAAGTGTTCTATCAATTACTTGGGATAACATTCCTCCTAAACCATATGAGAACACTATGTTACAATAGCCGATAGTTTGAATTTTGGCGCGAAGGCGCATTATAGGTTTCAGAACACTACGTTAAAGGTGGACTACCCTTATCATTTAAGGGTATGAAAAATATATAGTAGCCGATTCTCACTCTCATAAAATTTCATAAAAACGGTCAAACCGTATTGGAGGAGTATGGTAACTAACATTGTGACACGAGAATTTTATATATCAGATAAATCACGCAGATTGCGTACGGAACCAAACAACAAAGCCCCTTAGCTGTAGTTAGAAAATCTACATCATCAAAATGTGTACTGCACACAGTACTCGCAGTTGACGGGTTCCAACGGGTTTTTGTTTTCTTCTCTGCAGTTTTGAATCACTATAAAAACCCAGTAATCTTAAAAAGGAGGCAAGAGTAATTTTATATGAATAATATGGATTCTGTTTTTTTTTCCGTTTGGAATAATTGTCTTACCGAGTCACAAATGCATGAAATACAAATTACCCACTTTTAGGAAAAAAATCCCGTAAAAAATAGCCACAGTTGTATTTTTTGTTTAGAATTTTCGTCATATTAAATAAAATATAATTTAGAAAAAATATCACGATTCGTCATTACTTACGCTTGGTAGGTGATTCCTTGTGGGTCTTTAAGTTTACCCTTGCAGATTTTACCACACAAGACGGCATTTTTTATTTTTTTTTGTAGGAGCAATTGAACGTGTCACTGCCGCTGTCCACAGCCACAGACTATTTAGTTTAGATACTACTACGCCGCTGTCACGCAGAGTCAAATGGCAGCGGTTTGTCCGACCTGGTGCAAGTGTGAGTGTAGATAGTGTAAAACTAACGAAATTGTCTGACCTTGCATGGTTCACATCATTTTAGTGTGATATTACGTCCGTCTTTTTTTCAGGTCCGTGTTAAGGATATGAAAAATAGATAGTAGCCGATTCATAGACCCACGGAATATGCATATAAAATTTCATAAAAATCGGTCAGGCCGTTTCGGAGGAGTATAGTAACTAACATTGTGAGACGAGAATTTTATATACAAGATAAGCAGTGGCGGATTAGCAGTCTCAGTCGCCCTAGGCCCCAAACCATCAGCCCCCCCTTTCACAGCATTCACCATAGACTACATAATCAAATTACTTTATTGCCAATTTTGATCACAATATATTTAGAAATTCATAAAAAAATGTTTATTTCGCAAGAATAAGGTACGTAAGTTGTTACAACTAGTTATTTGCTCTAACATACTCTGCCAACTAAGCATACTTGAAATATATTAATTTTGATAGTAGAATACCAAGTATTGCGATACCCTGACAGGGTTCATGTAACGTACTTTATAACATGTATTAAACCATCTCTGTAACTACATGAATGCAATAAATGATTTGATATTTGGTTATAATAACTTTTACTCGAGTGTTATAATTTTTTAACACTTAATTGCTAGTTAAATATTAGAATATCTAATCAAACACAATTAATTTGTACGGAGCTACTTGTTATCGTAAGTACGGGTGGGTAGTGTGGGTAAAAGTAACTATAAGTTTACAAGAATGAATGATAATAATAATAGCTTCTAATTTCTAATATTTTACGAGGTTTCAAGAATAATTGCACATTTAAATAAAACATTTAAACGGTTTGAGGATTTATTTAATAACTACAGGTCAAGAGTACAAGATATAATAATTGTTATGCAATGTGTTACAAAACTCGCCTGTACTTTAGTGCAGCAAAATCATTAAGCGACGGGGGCGGAGTAGGCCACAGGGGCGGTGTAGGCGAGCTTGGCGGGCGCGAACGCGGGGTGTCCCTCGTAGCGCACAATAGCGTTGAAGCCGTGCTCCTTGTCTGCGGTATACTCGTCGATGCGCTGCACGCCGTCGGGCTGCAGCAGCGAGTAGGAGCCCTGGACGGCGTCACCGGCGTGTGCCTCCTTCTGTTCCTTGTTGTCACCGCTGTGCTTGTCGTGCACTTTAAAATCATTAATTAAATTTTCGCAATTCAATTTCCTTAAAAAAACAGCTCCTATGTTAAGCAAAGCAAGATCGCTTGTTGTCGTAAATAAATTTTTTACTCGTCGTATACTTAGATTAAAATAAAAAGGGTAGATACGGTACGCTCATACTTGCATCAAACAAAAACTAATCCCCACGGCAGCGCGAACGAGACGGCGAGATCCGCGCCACTGCACTACCGACCAATCACGCGACCAGTACTCGACGTTACTACCAAATAAGATTCAAAACAAACAGCATTTTTTATGAAAAAACATATTTTATAGTACTTACGAATGAAAAGTGATGCCGTGGGTTTTATTTTTAGTTCTTGAGCAATTTGAGCACTTTTTAAAAACACACTTAGACACATTGTTTTATCATATAAACACAAAATATTAGCAATATTTTTTTTGGCGTTCACATGTAGGTACGTCGTTTGCATGTCAAGTTGTGACTAAAGCGATTAGGGTCGTGGACCGATCACTTTTGTGAGGCTAGTGCCGTATCTACCCTTTTTGTTTTAATCTAAGGTCGTAAACAAGAAAACGATCGTTCTCCAGAGACCAGAATAGTTACTGGCGGGAGTGCACACCACCTTTGGGTAAATGCTTTGAAGACCTTCAGTTCGTAACCATTTCAACAAACTGACAGCACTTTTCCGATCTTCATTTTTTATAGTGCAGTGTGCACGAAAATGGAGATATTTTCTGAAAAATCATCTTCTTAGTCAGTAGAACAAATTATTTGCAAGGGTGTCGATTGGGGCCACCCTAGGCCCACCGGGCCTTAGGTTAAATCCGCCACTGCATATAAGATAAGATAAATCGCGCAGATTGCGTATGGAACCAAACAACGTAACTGCAATTATAAAATCTACATCATCAAAATGTGCACTGCACACAGTACTGGCAGTTGACGGGTTCCAATTGTTTTCTCATCTGCAGTATCGAATAACAAAAAAAACCCAGTAATCATAAAAATGAGGCAAGAGTAATTTTATATGAATGATATGGGTTCTGTTTGTTTTCCGTTTAGAATACGGAACCTTAAAAAATTTCGAAATCTTGTCTTACCGTCACCTTAGAGCATTTATACCACAAATGCATGAAATACAATTTCCCCACTTTTAGGAAAATTTTTTCCCCATAAAAAAAGTAGTTTTCGTTTTGAATTTTTATCACACTAAATAAAATATAATTTAGAAAAATTATCACGATTCTTCATTACTTACGCATGGTTGGAGATTCCTTGTGGCTTGGGAAGTTAACGTCATATTTTAAAAATTTCATCGGAGCAATTGGACGTGTGATCTGGTGCATGTGTGCGAGTGTAGGTAGTGTACAACAAACGAAATTGTAGGACCTTGCATGCTTCACATCATTTTAGTTTGATGTTACGTCCGTCTTTTTTTCGGGTCCGTGATCATGGCGTATCAAAATAAAATGGAAGGTTACTTTATGAACCACAAAGACATTAGCTTTGCGGAGGTACCGCGAAGGATACCCTGATAGAGACGTACCTTCTCGATATGTGTTTAAAAGGTTAGTGGATACTTTAAGTTCAGGACGTTTGATATGCGCTTACAGAAACCACAGCAGCGGATGATAAACGTCAACGATGAAGAACTCAACATTTTAACTTACTTTGAAGCGTATCCGATTTTATATTAGTTTGTGTAAAATAATTTAAAATTAAATGTTAAATTAAATTACTTTTCTTTCATTTATAATTTATGTTATTATACAAAAAATAATACTTATGATTATTAACCCTTTCGATTTGAGTTGAGTTACCTTAAAATATGTCGTTTCTTTTTTAAATTTCACGAGTTTGATTCCCAGTTATAGCAGGCGATTTAAAAAAAATCAGTGATAGCAGTTCTTATTATTATTAAAAATAAAACGATGTCTTCTTTCAGTAAGGTATCCTATCTTCAATATTTAGTATACTTTCCCTCCGTGTGAAGTAGCCGTGTGGCGCCCTGTATATTAACACGAAAAATGAAGATTTTTACGTACACGAAGATGAGGGCAGCCGCTAGTTATGGATACAGATTTGACGTCTTAATAATTTGATGCCGGCGTTTCACATGACTATTGGTATAAACCCTTCATCAAATTGCCAAGTATACGAATAGCCATGTGAAGTGCTGGCATGACGTTGGTCATTGCCACTTTCAATTATAAAAATTAAAAGAAGTCCTAGTTGTTTATGACATGGACACCCTGAAAACAAAATTTGCTGTTTTCTCTAAAACATAAGCAGAAACCTTTGTAATACTTTAACGAGCTGTTTGTAATGATTACACGGCTTAGAATTTTCATTTTGGTGCAAAGCTCGCTATTATTTTCAGTTACAATCAGTGGGCCCGAGATCCACATGGTCGTTTAGATTAAATTGCTTATACGCTCTCCCAATTAATGAATGTATCCGTAGTAATCACATATGCCGTCACATCAAATTAAAATAATTATCCCGTCGGTACATAGCTCAATTGAGTTTTATTTCAAGTTTTTGTCTTAAACTTTACCACAAAAACTTGAAATAAAGCATGTGGTTCTCGGGCTCACCAATTTTGGTCAATCATTACGCCTGGAAGCTGGTACATATAAACAGAACAAAATGCCCATTTACCTATAATAGTTTCGGATTACAAGAGCTTTGGCTATCTGTTCTATTAAATGCGGGAAACTTATGAAGGAGTAGGAAGTTTGTAAGTTAATTAGGATAAACAATAATGACACTCGTTTTGTATTTTTATGACTAAATTCTATTGAAAGTTTGTTTCGAGCCTTATCACATCTACAAAGAATAAAATCTTAACAATTCTTCATCTTTAGGTTTAAGTATACACTCATCCTTTAAATTTATAACCCACCCAGGTTCTAGTCCATAAAAAATTTGTCTTGGATCTTTTCTTTCGCTTAAAATATTGTAATCAGAATCATTTTCGATAATAGGTAATTGATATCCATATTTTTGGGCTAATTTGATTCTGGCTTGTGATATTTGATCAGGATCGGCAAGATAACCACGATTTTCTGCACTTGTATAGTATTCGATCGCATCTTGTGGAGGAATCATTCTTCGTGGAATAGCTTGCCCAGATTCAAAAAAAATCTTAGGATTTTTAAGTAAGAATAGGCTGTGAGGATCATAATATGCTGTTGAAATAACACCTCCTTTTTTTTCAATGGCTGCAATAACTAGTTCACTCGCCCACTGCACCTCTATATTAATTTTTGCTTCAAAAGTATCTGCTCCTTCATCTGTTAAATTAATACCAAAATGTTTTTGGTCAGGAAAAAAGTTATAAAGACCAGTTTTTACAATGCTCGCAATATCAATAGGAGCTGTAACATCTACACGATCTGTATCAATCATTTCTTGAAGTATCCGTAGTGATAAAGGAGGATATTGTCTTCTATAGCTGTAAAGAAAACAAATTACAATAAGGGTAGTATTAAAAAGAGTGACTGTAAGTTTAAATTACAAGAGACTAAAATAGCTAATTTGTGTGATAGCCTGCACAGAAGACAGATTTTTGCCCCGTATTATAAAAATAAATCGATCGAGTACTTGTCACGGACACAACGCACACAGTGTGCAGACATTTGTCCCCCGAAAATTTTGTGAGGCGTACGATTATTTGTTATCGAAGCAATATTCTGAGATAACGTTGTATATCATCATCATCATCATCAGCCTATTAATGTCCCCACTGCTGGGGCACAGGCCTTCCCTATGGATGGAATAGGGAGATTGGGCCATGACCCACCACGCGGGCCCAGTGCGGATTGGCGGGTACTAACGACTGCAGATGCAACCGGGACCAATGGCTTAACGTGCCTTCCGAAGCACGGAGGAACTCGAGATAGAAATTTTTGGTCACCCATCCAATGACCGACCACTGCGAAAGTTGCTTAACTACAACGATCGCAGCCGAACGCGCTAACCACCTGCGCCATCGAGCTCCTTGTTGTTGTATATACACTGGGTTTATTCCTTTATATCCGATTGATTTATTTATTATGCTTACACTATAATATTGACAAAAACAATGTTTCACAATCTTTATAAAAGATAATTGAATATAGTTTAAGCGTAAAGCTATGCAAAACATATGAACAACATACTTGAGGTTGATTTATTCACTAAAATCACTTAAAATTACTATTTTACGGGCATTTTTAGTACCCTCAGAAGACATGACGCTAAGCCACAATAAAAACTGTGATTACTTAATAATTACTCAATTGTGTTTCTTTAATTGAGGTTTTTAATTGCACACTAGGAAAATCCTCCTCAATTATTTGATAAAAACGTTAATAGGCGCTAAAGAATTCCTTCAACAAATACTTCGCGCCATTGTCTTTTCGGTCATGATTTTTTTTATGTATCCTTTGAAGGAGTCCTTTTTCTACTTCTTTACTACATACATCACTATCGGGCGCGCACCGCGAACTAAAGTCCGCCGTGTCCGTGCGCCTCTTGTCGCTTATGTACATTTTTTTCCGGGGACTCTCGCGTACAGTCTGTCAATAGTCATAAAAAAGGAGACCGCCACAGTCGCTTACATGATATCCCCGTTATACATAGACTAAAATGCTTTGAGATTTGTTAAATCTACTGTATTGTACTAGCGTATATTCAACATTATGTAATAGGTTATTGTTCCCAATAAAAAAATAAATAAATAAAATTAAAAAACATTAGAATGAAAAAATAGAACATGCCAGAAGGGGTGCATATATATAGTCAGCCTGGGGCGGTCAAAATTTAATTATACGATTTTATCGTTCGGTTCTATACCAAGTAAGAGGGAGTACTAGATCTTGACATCATAGTGGACAACACTACCTAGGGGAACGTGGCCCCTGAGGAAAGATAGTGAAATTCTTTTGAGAAAAGAATGGCACTCCTAGAGAATGGTGGACGTTGAAAACGATGTGGGAACGTTGCACCGACAAAAAAAACTGGTGAAGCTGGCCATTTCATAAGGCAAAGTCTTGGTGGCCGGTTTCAGCAGTTGATACATCACTGTACGATGGGCAGGATGTTGTGAACGTACGCTAACGGGTCCCGATTCATCTGTAGTACGTGTTTGCCAAGCGGTGAACGAAGAGAGTTGAGAAAATGACATCTACCAGATGGCGTGATCCGCCGCCATCCGCAAAGGCTGTACACCAAAAGAATGGAAAATAATTGAGGTTGTCCTGATCTTCAAAAAGGATGGTAAGACTCTTAAGGAACTATTTCTTCATGCCATGTCTATTAAGTGTTTTCGAGAGAAACTTAGAGAAAGCCTTCGATTCTATTAAAACCTGGTGATATCGAGGATATCGAGGTGTTAAGGTATCTTTACGAAAATGGCAATATGTCAGAGAACCAGAGCTCTAATCCTATTCAACTATAACCATGCCTGAGACAGGGAGGATTTAAAACATCATCGGATTTGTTTACAACAAAGTTGAAGGATATTTTAAAGCTTCTGGAGTGGAAAGGCCGTGACATCTTATGTCTTATGTCTGAGACCTCAGAAGATCTGAACATATTACCTACTCGCAGATGTAAGTGCTGCCCAAAGATATATGATCACATGTTAAGGACTAAATTCATGTGGAATGCAATAATGTTGTATCCACTCTACTTAAAATTGGTAACACTACACTCAAATTTGTTGACCACCACGTATACAGGGTCTTTCGTCAAATCCAGCTCGGATGCGCAACGTTCAGGCTTCGGAAAACTACGAATAAACTTCACGTCCAAAACATCAGTGTTTCAAGACAAAACCTTTTTACCAGTAGGTGCTGCTAGTATATGGAAACGAAACGAAATGCTCAAGGTCAAGACAGAGCGAATATTAAAGGGAGTGATGCACGGTATATTCCTGTGCAATAGAATCAGAAATAAAAAAATCTGTAGGAAAACTAAAGTAAGTGACCGACGACCTGGTGAAGGTCGCAGGAAGCCGCTGGATGCGAATAGCGCAGAACTAAACGCTCTGGAGATTTGGTGAGGCCTATGTTCAGCAGTCAGCGTTGTACGGCTGATAATGATGGTGGTGAAGTAACTCTTAATACAAATATGAAAAATAATACGCTTTATTGCCCTTCCTGAAAATACCTATTAATATCCTAAAAAAATAAAGGAGTCCTGAAAATCCCAAAAGTTCCGGGTTCTTTTATTGGATCATCTCGAAAATTCCGGGTCTCGATTTTTGCGTCGGTCGTTTATTCCCTAATGGATACTGACACGTCCTATAGTACATAGGACACCTGCGAATAAGGAGGAATCCATATAAGCAGTCCCGGACCGAGTCGGTAAAGTTAACAGGGTGCAATGGGATATCTGGTGGCACAGGTATCTCCAGGAAAAGTTGCAATATCCAATTACGAACTTACGACATGGCGAGTTAGCGTTGCCATTAAATAGACTATTTGACCTGCCAGTGGGAAGTAGCTTGCCAGCAACACTATAGGGGAAAGGAAAATTGTTATGGAGTTAGAAGAGCTGCGGGCTACGATGGAGACCATTTAAAAACGGCTGCATTACTCCGATCACCAACCGGCGTGGTATTTATGGCTATAAGCCCATCCCTCTTAGACATGATAATCAAAATCAAAAATCGACCACGAATTCCCAGCACTTCGTCCCTCCCCGACTTCTGCAGTTGATTCACTGTGCCAAGACATTATTTATGGCTACATACAATATAAAGTAATTGTAAAATCAAGTAGGATGTGCTCGGACTCTGCGAGATCAGGCGTGCGGGAGAAGAACTTATTATCATGCAGTCGGGAGTTCTTCTGTATTGTAGACTGGGGCCAAAACCTGGCATTGGTGGCAGTGGCTTCATGATCAGTAAGACATTATACACACTCGGACAAACTCTTATCGGAATCAAGAGTTTATCGGATAGAGTAACATACGTGATTCTCAAAGTATTTGAAATAATAATAATAATTTATTTCCAGTAAGAGTTGATTTACAATTTAACTTATAAGGCTAAAACAGTACTAATATCTCTAACATAATTACATATTTATCTGCTGCCGAGCTAGGCAAAATGCCTTTTTTTTGTTGTAGATTGTTCCGACAAATGACTCCACCCCACCTGATGTTAAGTGGAGGTGAAGTCCAGACGCGAAGATAGCTGATACAGCAGTTCTACCTGCCACACCAGCCATCCTCACCCTGCCGGCCTGCATGTTGCTTCTTCACGCCTCTTTTAAAGGATCCCAGGTTGTAAGAGGGAGGGAACACGTGAGCGGGCAGAGCATTCCATTTACGGATAGTACGACAAAGAAATGAGTCACCAGATTTGTTTGTACGCGTTGGAATTGTAGCCACAGTTAGACGGTGACAACGTAAGCCAGCGCGCGTGGTCCTCTGAAGGAAAGGGGAAGGTGGAATAAGAGAGAATAACTCCTCAGAACACTCGCCGAGGCACAGAAGATAGAACGCGCTTAGTGACGCTACGTCACGGCGTAATTGAAGAGGCTCGAGGTGTTTAGTCACCTTCTCATTGCCTATGATGCGTATTGCGCGCCGCTGTAACCTATCCAAAGCATCGAGCAAGTACTTGGCGGAGCCATCCCAGAGGTGCGGGCAATATTCCACGCAAGACCGCACCTGCGTCTTATATAACAAGCATTGTTGCTCGGGCGTGAAAAAACGCCGCACCTTGATCAGGACTCCGAGTTTGAGTGAGTTTTTATCACACTTTCGATGTAATTTTTTGGATTTAAGTCACAGCGAATCTCCATACCGAGCATGGTGATACTGCTCTCTAGCTCCAGTGTTCGCCCTGAAGAGAAGGACATAAAAGGAATGGCGACGTTTTTGCCGTGAAAGCGCAGACCTGGGTTTTCTTAGCATTGAACTGAACCAAGTTCCTGGTACCCCATTCAGAAATGTGGTCCAAAGCCTGATTGAGCTCAATGACAAGATTTTCCCGTTTCTCCTTGGTTACCGCCTGCCCAGCCGCTGCTTGTCCGAGATACCCCGCATGCACTGTACTATCGTCTGCATAGCAATGAATATTCCCAAGAGGCATTAAGTCATTGATAAGCAGCAGAAAGAGAGTGGGGGATAGGACGGAGTCCTGGGGAACGCCGGCATTCACTGACATGAACCGCGAACTGCTACCATCCGTAAGGACACGAATTCTACGCTCATGCAGGAAGTCCGCTACCCAAGAACAGAACTGGGCCGGCAGACCGTATGCCGGAAGCTTGGAGAGAAGGTTTTTGTGCTAGACCCTGTCAAATGCCTTGGCAATGTCAAGGCTGATAGCCAACGACTCGCCCCGCTTGTCGATAGCCTCACCCCAGATATGAGTCAAGTACGCTAGAAGATCACCCGTCGATCGTTTCGGTCTAAAACCATATTGACGATCATTAATCAGGGAGTGATCCTCTAGGTAGCGGGTCAGATGGTTGTTAAGGACCTTTTCTAGGACTTTACATAATACTGAGATGACTGCAATTGGCCGGTAGTTTGCCGGGTCTGAGCGATCCCCTTTTTTGGGTACCGGTTGCACGTTAGCATCTCTCCAAGTCTCCGGCACACGCCCCAAAGAATACGAGCACTGGTACAAACGCGGGAGCACGGGAGACAACTCCGCTGCACATTTTTTCAGTACTACTGCTGGGATGCCATCAGGTCCACTAGCTTTCCGGACGTCGAGTGATTGCAATTCGGCACGAACCTCACGCTGCCTGATTTTGATATCAGGCATCGTTGTGCCACAATGAGGTAATAATGGTAGCAGTGCATTGCAATCATCGATTCGGGAGTTAGCTGCAAAGAGTTTTGTCAGTAAATCGGCTTTCTCCTGCGGCTTATGAGCTAGTGTTCCGTCTGGGTATCTCAGAGGTGGCAGCGAGGGCTGGCAGAAGTTCTTTTGCACGGCCTTGGCCAAACGCCAATAGCTACGGGAGCCCGTAGCTATTGGCGTTTGGCCAAGCAGCAGCTTCAGCACAGTCGTGATTGAAGCAGAGGTTACGTGTGCCCTTACTGATGAGATTGGAATGAGGAATATAGTATTCCATACCCATTACAATCTCCTCAGTAATAGCAACAGCGCTGGCCGATAGGTCTTGTCACTGAAGCAGCGCTACTTCCAAGGGACGGACGCAAAGTGGTTTTAGGCTGGCTGACCCCGAAACGCGCGACAAGCATTTCAGTGGTTTTTCACCATGCGCACGGTGGTAACAAACCAGGCGGATGTTAGGCACCCTACCGCCAGAGGAGCGGATGGAAGCTCTGATGTCCCTTAGTCGCCTCTTACGACACCCACGGGAGTTGTATTCTTTCTTCGTCACCGCACGGATTGTTACGGCATACAGCTTCTCAAAGTATTCGAAATGCACAGGTCATAAAGGTTTATGTACCTACTACGGACTATACAGAGGACGAACTGAGTAAATTCCAAGATGATATCTCCATAACTCTGAAAATCAAGTCTCATTTTATATATTTAATTTGAGACTTTGATGCACGGCTCCGCAAATCAACGACATACACAACAAAAGCAAGTCACTATTCAGAAGGTAACTCAAGAGTAATTACCTGACGTTACTCTACAGGAAACGAATTGGCTATATACCAACAAAAAAAATCGTAGATCCACAGGGGAGGACGGGTTTTACCGGAAATGATAAAACATACAAATAAGCAGTTTAGGAAATAATTGGCGTTACTATTTATAAAGAGTTTAATGGAATGCTCAACAAGTGAGAAAGAAAATTCATCGACAAAATTTGTTGTAGATTTCTATCTATAAGACATTAGAAAACACATTTTGATATCTATCACATAGGAAAACAATTGGTCCCCAAAGGGCAATGCCCAAAATAGGCTACGCGTGGACAAGGTGCTTAGTAAACACTAATTTTACAATATTATTTTATTTATTTTTACACCCATTTCTATAACCGTAATATAGTGGAGAGTTTTATTAATAATACAATAAAATCAAATGAAAATAGTAAGTTCACTTCCTTCTGCTAGTTATCTAATGTCACATGAACATGATCGCAAACGGCTGTAATTGGTCGAATTTAAGTAAGCACCACATCATTACAGCGAAAACGGCTAGGATTGGTCGGGTCTAAGATGACATTTGCAGACAAGGGCTGCGTGCCAAACCTACGCTCCAGTTACAACAAATGTCAAATTCGATAGAGTTTCATACATTTATGTCAAAATAGAAACGTCAGAGTAAAAGGTTGTATATGGAGCGTAGGTTCCAAACCCATTGGTATTCATCCGTAGGTTTTTCATCCAATGCGCATTCGCGATTAGAGAGAGAAAGGCTAGCCGTCTCTCATCTTCTTTCTCCTTCTACTAGATGAACCTACCTACTACCCTACTCTATTCTTATCCTCCGTGGTGTTTTCGTTTAGACATTTGGATGATTATGATGGTCTTATGCATATGACGTCGCACGCCATATTGCACAATATAAATTTTTCGCGGCATATTTAAAGAATAGATGTTTATTTTCGATTTTATTTATTTGTGCAACATAAAATGTATCTACCCAGTGTCAAGACACCGTATTATTAATATAATGACTTCAAATATTAAAGATTGTTGCGAAAATTACTTATTTGTGCTTATATTACCTTTTTTCATTGGGGTGTTAACAATTGTTTGAAAGAATACTGATACAAAATTGTAATGATTCAAAAATTCTGGGAAGTTAAAGCTTCTTGCATAGTATAGTTTCACTTGTTAAAATGTCTGTTCATGTTAAACAAATTCCCATAGAAAGTGGGCATTGCCCTTTACCGCCCTAGGCTCAAGGCTATTCAGGCTGCCGACGACGACGCTTTAGTCTCAGTACGTACGTACATTTCACAAACGCGTTCAATCCCTACAACCTCTCGACAGTAATGAACGGAATTCACTAAGCCACTAGCAGCTGCGATTAGAGATTACGTAGAGTGGCTTTACTGAGCCACATGTGGTCGCGTTTAGTGGCCGCGACGTTGAAGGTCAGTTTAAGTGTTGGATTCTAATTTTATCATATACTAGCTGACCCAGCGAACTTCGTACCGCCCTAAAAAAATAGGGGTTGTCCAGCGGACAAAATTGTGAATCTAAACCATTCTCAGATCCCCTTGAACACACACAAAAAATTTCATCAAAATCGGTCCAGTCGTTTAAGAGAAGTTCAGTGACATACACACTCACAGAAGAATTATATATATAAAGATTATGTTTGAATCAACAATGTTTTTTTCTTTTTGAGCCCAATGGAAAACCGTAGACAAATGCCTCAGAGCGGGTTGAGGGGCAGGGCATTGTTCTATCGGCTGGGGGCTCCGTTTTAAAACGACGCTCCGAGTACAGCTTTTAACTTTGAGGTTTCAATTTTGACATAAAATGTACAAAACTTTTGTTTAAATTTTACATTTCTTGCACCCGGATCGGAGTTATTTTGTGTACAACAGCCACATGAGTAGTAGACGGCGTGTGTACAGAAACCTTTTTTCAGAAACAAAGTTTTGTGTATGTGTTTTTGTTGAAAGTTTTCAAAAATTATTGCAGGGGACCCGACTTTACATGCACAATGTAATAATAATACTAAGCTACTTGCAAGCCTCACTTTGATTGTATTGTGTTCATTATAACAATATTACTCAATCAAAAATATAAGATAATATATATATATATATAATATCCTAAGATGTAGGCTTGCAGTAAATTCAACTTAACAGTCCTGAATTAAATATGTGACTGGACCTAAAAGGTTACCAAGTTATCACTGTACTATCTAATATATAAAATTCTCGTGTCGCGGTGTTTGTGGTTAAACTCCTCCGAAACGGCTCGACCGATTTTCGTGAAATTTTATATGCATATTCAGTAGGTCTGAGAATCGGATGTAATCTATTTTTCATCCCCCTAAATGTTAAGGGTAATCCACCCCTAACTTTCTTTTTTTCAATTTTAGATTTTTTTTTTATTTTTTTATGATACATCATACAAAAATACATACAACTCTAAATTTTCACCCTTCTACCACCAACCCTTATTTTTTTATGGCGGTACGAAGTTCGCTGGGACAGCTAGTATAATATAACAATTTTGGCACTCACTGATGTCCTTTATAATAATGTTCTTGTGGAACTCTTAAATAGAAAGGATTAGTCCCAGTTTCATATCCAATCCTCATAAAATTTTGTCTTTGACCTGATCCTTTATTGCCACATCCATGCTTATCTCCTCCATGTTGTGCTCTCCCTCTCTTTTGCTGTAAAAAATCACCATATTGACATACTTTTTATTGGGTCTACCTTGTATTGCAGAACTTTTAACATAACATTAAATGCATATCAGCAGATGGCATAAACTTCATTTCTTAGATATCATATGGCTTTCACTCATTTAGCAGACATTTAAATGCATATATTAGCTAGCATACCTAGCAAGCATCTTTATGCATAAATACACAGTCAGGTCATGAGTATTGTCACACAGTAAAAACTTTTCTTTTAGAATGCTGGCCACAAAATAGTTTATTGAATTCGAATTTCAAATTGTTCATGAAAATAAAAATGTATACTTTTTAGAATTTTGCTCATTTTTAAATATGGAGTGGATGCTTATAGAAGACCATGTTGCAGTTATTGCGTTGCATCGTTGCGGTTACGCGCCAGTTAAAATTTTTGACATACTGAAAAATTTGAATATAACCAAAAGATTCGTTTATCGTACCCAACGATATTAAATACCCTAGATACACCAACACGAACTAAATCATGCCCGAAACCTGTCCACAAGGCGCATTGGACGATCCACGGAGCTCCGTAAGATGATCGCGTAGTCTAAACAATATAACACATTATTTAAACATTGAAAATCAACTTTAAAGCGTAATATCTATCATAAGGTCTTAATTAAAACGCATGCGTCAAAGAGTTCTGACAGTCCGAAACGCAAGCTCGTAAAATTGTACTACTTATTGCTATATGCGGAAGTATATAGATATTATTTCATTGAGTCTCTTAGATTAAAACAAAAAGGGAAGATACGGCATTCGCGGCTCAAAAGTGAGCCGCTTAAATTGTGGTCCACGACCATAATTCGCTTTAGTCACAATTTGACATTCAAACAATATTGCGTATATTCTGTGTTATGAAGATATAACAAAGCCTTCGATGCTTTTTTAAAGAACACAATTAGTTCAAAATCAAATGCCCCCGGTAACACTTTTCATTCGTGAAACTGTAAAAACATTTTTTTCTCAAAAATCACGGTTTGTCGTGAATATTATTTACGTAATCGCCATTTTGTAAGTAAGAAAAGGACAACAATACGCTGCGTTGAGCCGTATAGTTCTATCTCGATCGCTCGATTGATGTTTATATACAGACGTGTGCGAGGCGAGAGTTGCTTATGTAGTTGAGTCGGATTATATTTTATTTGATGCTAGTATGAGCGTACCGTATCCCCCTTTTGTTTTACTCTAAGTTGATTCTACGCGCAAATCTGAATGCGCTGTTAGCAATATAGCAAGTACGGACCGCGAGGAAAAAAAACGGCTATATTACCGACCATGCTTTTGAATATCACAAATATTTTCTATTAAATCAGTTTATAATAAGTATTAAAACATAATTTTCTTTAAATGCGTTAAATTAACAAACATTGATTCCTGTCGAAAAAATGACATTTTACATGCTATAAGTATTTTTTTTTCGCATTTTTTCACGGAGCTCAGCGGCATGTTGACTTTCCAACGGTCTGCGCGTGACCGTGAACCAAGAAGTGCTTGAGTCGTGTTTCCAACGGTCCAATGTTGACTTTCCAACGGTCTGCGCGTGACCGTGAACCAAGAAGTGCTTGAGTCGTGTTTAAGCACTTCTTGATTGGGACACATTATGAGCGCACGTGGTGTATCTAGGGTATTTAATATCGTTGATCGTACCATCAAACGATACAATGAAGACTCTAGTGTAGATGACGGGTCAAGAAGTGGTCGCCAGGTCGGTGGGTCTGTTAGGACTCCAGCAGTGATAAAGCTGTGAAGGCGCGAATTCAAAGAAATCCCAAACGTAAGCAGAAACTGTTGGCCCTTCAGATGGGGTTAAGCAGAACCACGGTGAAAAGGGTGTTAAATGAAGACTTAGGGCTTCGGGCATATCGAAGAAAAACAGGACATCGTTTGAATGCTCGTCTAATGGACCTGAGACTGAAGAGATGCCGCGCTTTGTTGAAGCGGTACGCGGGAAAAAAATATCGGGAAATTCTTTTTTCGGATTAAAAAATTTTTACCGTGGAAGAGAGCTACAACAAACAAAATGATAAGGTGTACGCACACAGTAGTGAAGAAGCGAACAACCGTATTCCGATGTGTCCAACGAGTTCATTTTCCATCCTCGCTCATGGTATGGTTGGGAGTTTTTTATTAGGGCTTAACAGAGGTACATTTTTGTGAGAAAGGTGTAAAAACGAATGCAGTGTATCAAAATACGGTCCTGACGAACCTTGTGGAACCTGTTTCGTATACAATGTTCAATAACAAGCACTGGGTATTTCAATCCAACAAGATTCGGCGCCAGCTCATAGAGCGAAGAGCACACAAGACTGGCTGGCGGCGCGTGAAATCGACTTCATCCGGCACGAAGACTGGCCCTCCTCCAGTCCAGATTTGAGTCCGTTAGATTACAAGATATGGCAACACTTGGAGGAAAAGGCGTGCTCAAAGCCTCATCCCAATTTGGAGTCACTCAAGACATCCTTGATTAAGGCAGCCTCCGATATTGACATGGAACTCGTTCGTGCTGCGATAGATGACTGGCCGCGCAGATTGAAGGCATGTATTTAAAATCACGGAGGTCATTTTGAATAAACTTTATTGTCATAAGAATCTATGTTTTTAGGTTCATTTTGGTATATAAATGAATAAACTTGTTTGAATTATTTTATATTAAGCATGTGACAGAATTTACGACCTGACTAGGTATAATATCCACAAAAGCAGGACCATCAAATCGCTGAAAATTCACAGTCAGAATCTCCTTTTGGCATACAATTATTTAACTTTTCCTTTTTTTAACTTATATATAATGGCATTCATTTTGGCATTATTTTGTAAACCTAAAACTAAATTTAACATCAGTCTCTCCTTTTCTTTTTGTATAGTGAATGACAAGGATATGCTGTATTACTACAAAATTTTACAATTTTAATTTAGGTTTAAAGTTTGGGGGGTGAAGTTGCTTGCGTCCGTAGGATTTACCATCTTCTCCTAAGACCCAGCCTACACGTGCCCCCTGGGTGGTGCAAAACGAGCAACAACGTCGAGCCTCGGGCGACGGTTAACAAACCCGACTCAGCCGGCCTAACAAGCCTGGCACTAGTGAGGGTAGGAAATGACCCTCACAATCCGTATCTTCGCCTTGCACAGCAAACGAAACCGGAGGCCTTGGCTTAAATGTCTGGACCAAGAGGTAGAAAACCTCCATAAAAAGTTACCCTAACTCCACGGTGTGATACGTGCCCATGGATGCGTGGCTGATGGGGAGATCAGTCGAAAGCGATCAACCTCGGTGGACCTGGAAAACACCGTTGTATTTTCCTTCTAGGGGGAATGGGCGTCACCCTCCTAGTGACCTTTTTAAATCGACCCTACTCGTGGGAATAATATGGATGATAAATTATGAAAAGCCAACTCAACCTACCAGGAAAACAAGACCTTAACACAGCAAATATTTCATAAGTCTCTGTTCGTGAACAGACCTAGGTCTCAATCACTTAGTGATGAACAACTCGCACAAAGAACCACAGAACAATTGGAATCTGACGACTCTAGAACCAGTGGAACAAAATCTCAATGGACAAATGTAAAAGAAAGAAAGCGCCCAAGAGACAGCCCTGAGCACGATAATGACCATGCTAATAAGCAGACTAAACTCAGTAGCTATTGGCTCAGCAAACCAATACCGACATCAAACAGATTTGAGGATTTGGAAACTTACCCCAACCAAGAGGATACCACACAAAATGATGTTACAGAGAAATTCCCTAAACCACCCCCTATTTTTGTAGACAAAGTCGAAAACATGCGGCCGCTAAAAGAACTCCTTGAAGAACATGCTACAGGAAACTATGAAATTAAAGTTTTAAATAATAACCGTGTCAAAATTCAAACTGCGACTCCCGACACTTATAAGGAAATAGTCAAACAACTAGAAGGCAAAAAAACAGAGTTTTATACATACAAGCCTAAGCAGGAGCGTACCTTTAAAGAAGTCCTAAAAAACATTCACCCGTCCATAGATACCGAAGAAATACACGAAGCCCTAAAAGAAAAAGGTCATGACACCGTTAACATATGGAATAGAAAGCAGAGAACGACAAAAAAACCTCTACATATGTTCGTTGTAGAATTGCTACCAAAAGCAAACAACAAACAAATATACGAGCTTACAAGCCTCTTACACTTACGTATAAAAATAGAACCACCAAGACAAACACGCAACATACCCCAATGTGCAAACTGCCAGCAATATGGACACACAAAAGCATACTGTCGTCGCACTCCTAAATGCATCAAATGCGCTGGCAGCCACTTATCTACAAATTGCACCCGTAAAGAACATTCTGACTCTGTCAAATGCGCCTTATGCGATGCCAATCATCCAGCAAACTATAAGGGTATACAAGGACTTGCAAAAACAGAAATTCCCGTCCATCCGGAACAAAAAAGTAGAACACCAGAACTTCCCTCAAAAAGCTGACGTCGAGCCTATGCCGAAAAGTAACTTTAAAAGTGTACAAAGTGGAAAGTCTTACAAGGATGTCCTTTTACATAAAGGAAACAAAGAACGTGAAATACCACAACCTCCTATCATAAACTCTTCCGAGAAATCAAACCACATGCAACAGCTAATAGAAATGTTTAAACAAATCATGAATCAAATGTGTACTATAACAAATCTACTTACAAACCTAACGGCAACATTGTCAAAAATTCAACCAGCTCAAATTAGCACTATGGAACGCCAACGGCTTGTCACAACTCTTCAATGAAGCAAAATTATTTCTTGAAACAAATAATGTGGATCTAAAGAAAATATAACTAGAAAAAATTCCACGCGGACCAGGCAGCAGACGGGACTTGATCAATGAAGCAAAATTATTTCTTGAAACAAATAATGTGGATCTAAAGAAAATATAACTAGAAAAAATTCCACGCGGACCAGGCAGCAGACGGGACTTGAACCCGCACCCTTCGCAATCCGGGCG